TTGCCCGGTGTGCCCGATGGCCAGTCCGGGCCTGGTGTCCCTTTAAGTGACAAAGCAAAGCATGGTTGGGTCATTTGATAATAAATAAACAAACCCAATGTTTTAGTACAATTTGGGGGGAAAGTTATATATGTGCAATTTTGTGTAAAATAATTTAATAAAGTTGGAATTGTCAGAAACTCAAAGTGAATTTCAAATGAAAGGCCAAAAGATCCAAATTTAAAACAGAAATAAATTGTAGAATTTATGTAAATTTGGTTATTTTGGCCCAAATTGTTAGTCCCAGTGAATTCCCAGTTATTTTTATTTCAGTGACTGACCATGACTTCCATAAGGACCAATGGGACTTGGTAAGATCCCTTTGGTTCCTATGGAGATTGAGGCACGCTCAGAGCTCGCAGCCCGGGCTCTGCTAAACCAAGCGCTGCCACAGACAAAGCTGAGAGGAGCGTGGACTGCTGAGCTAAAAAGGGGGCGGGACCCAGGCGGCACGAGGACGGCCCAACGTCAGCCGAGGCAGCCAACCAGCGGCTTGCTCCGCGCGCCCTGACGTTAGAACGTAGGCGGGACTCTTGCTTAGCTCCGCCCACTCTTCGTCGCTCTCGCTTGCTTTCCAGTGCCCGAATTTCCCCCCTCAGCCGGGACCAATCAGAGCCGCCGCTCGGGGAGGCAAAGCCAACGGATGAGGCCCGCACGGTCGGGCATTATGAAAGACCTCGCCGCCAGCCCTTCCGGTAGGTGTAACGGTCCGTGACAAGAGGAGGGGGCTCGTGGGTAGCCGCGGGACGCAGGGGGAAGGTGAGCGCCGCCGCCGGTGGCTTGTTAGGCCGCCTTTCCCGAGATGCTTAGTGAGAGGAAGTGAGGCCATCTTTGGTTCCGTCTGCTCTGACAATAACAATAACAATCACAGAGTGGGGGGGAGAGCTGAGGCAGGCCGGGGCCTTCCATGAGCTGGGGAGAGAGCTGAGCCAGGCTTTGGGGGAAGAGAGCTGAGCCAGGCTCTGGGAGGGGGGGAGAGAGCTGAGCCAGGCTCTGGGAGG